TTATTTTTTAGTAAGTTTTTTATTTTCTCTTTCGTTAAGATTTATTATTTTTTTAAAATTTTTTTTCAGATAAGTTTAGGTAAGTTTTTGTAGAGCGCTTTTAAATTTTAAAAATATGCCGTGGTCAAATTATTAAAACATTATTTTTTGTGTGGTCATATAAAGACGGGAAATTGCACGTCTTCCTGTGAAAGCCTGATATATATATATATATATATATATATATATATATTTTCAGATAAGCTTAGGTAAGTTTTTGTAGCGCTTTTTTAAATTTTAAAAATATGCCATGGTCAAATTGTTAAAACATTTTTTGTGTGGTCATATAAAGACGCAAAATTGCACGTCTTTCTGTAAAAGCCTGATATATATATATATTTTCAGATAAGTTTAGGTAAGTTTTTGTAGCACGATTTTAAATTTTAAAAATATGCCGTGGTCAAATTGTTAAAACATTATTTTTTGTGTGGTCATATAAAGACGCGAAATTGCACGTCTTCCTGTGAAAGCCTGATATATATATATATATATATATATATATATATATATATATATATATATATATATATATATACACACACACACACACACACAGACAATGATTCATTATGAGCACAAACACACTGATAAAATATTATTGCTTCAAGACTAACAGTTTTGCAAGAATTTGGGATTTTCAAAATGATCGCTATACTGCTATACTATTGAGAACAATATGTTCTCAAGACTCACGATACTGTGAGTATTGAGAATGTAACATTATAAAATACCATCTTACAATTCCAACCAAGCGCATAAAAAAGAACATTAAGATGGAGATGATAAAACAAAGTCCTATGCAAATTTATTACCTGATTTAAAGAACAGTCTAAACAAAATTCCACTATTTTTAAAGTTGATTTTGCATTTGTTGATCCGGCCTTTGGATATCTATAGTTTTCAACAAAGTTTGTGAATGACACTTCTGAATGTGATCCCATTTGAAATTCTTCAACTGCACGCTCATCTACCTATAAAAAAAGAACATTAGAACATTACACTTTAACTAATAATTTACATAACACTTTCATCATTGTTTTGTAAAACACATTTTAATTGATGAATAAATTTTTAAAATACTGCACAATTATTTTTAGCAATATTTTAAAATACTGCATAATTATTTTTATGTTACTGCAAAACTTATAATTTTAATTTTTTTCGTATTTTCATAATTCACAGACCTGATCATTTAACAGAAATATATTATAGTCAACAAAATATCATACAGACACTAATATTTTAAAATTGCCTTAACTACACTGAGTAGAAAGAAAAACAAGTTAATTGTAAAATTTGTAAAAATCCAATTTATTCAATTGTATTTATTATTTTATACTTATTATTTTATTTTTATTAATTTTTATCTTGTCAATATTATTGAAATTTTAAATTTAATTAAATTATGTCCCGTATTTATTTGAAAAATAAAATATTCAATTTTCTAGCAAGCATTCTTATTAAATGTGACACTTGTAAAATGTGACACTTCATCTTAAAACAAGTTATTTGTTAGATTTCTTAAAACATTTATAAAATTTAAGAAGTTGGATTTTATTGGTACTAATATTTTCAACAAAAACAAAACTTTTGCACCAATAAAACTTTAACAAAAGTTCTTAAAGGAATCCCTAACTGCCGAGACAAGTTGTGTTCATATTAAAGAAAATGTTTAAAAAAAACATTTGGGCAAAATTTTTTTGATTAAAACTATATAATGAATGCACACCATTAAATTTAAAATTCACGTTTTAGTCAAAGCTCGCCGTCTCCATTTTTTTTTTTGGTTCTCGGAATCTGTATAATGTTAGTTGCAATCTGCAGACTTGATAATTTATTCCATGCGTGTTTAATTCATAACAGTTTCAGTATATGATGTCAGCGTATAAATTTTTTTTTCAAGATGTCGTATTATTTTTTGGCCAAAATCACCAAATCATGTTACTTGTATAACTTTATACTAAATCCCCAAAAAAGTTTATGATGAAATTAAAAATTAAATTTATAAAATCTATAAAAATAAAAATTTAATATATAACGAATATTTACAGTAAACAGAGTGGTTTAAACTAAATATAAGCTAGATACTAAAAGAATAATTTTACAAAAGCGTATAAATTAATTTAAAGTATAAACTGAAAAAAAAAACGAGTGACTTGAATAAAAGATCAAAACTAAGTAGAACTAAGTAGAAAATAAATATTACAGGCCTTGTTTTAAATAAAAAAGTGCTTAATGCATTAGCTTAACGCGATTTTGACGTCATAAAATTATCTTTATTTTTTTTTAAAGGCGTTAAGTGTTTTAACTACCGCAATAAATAAATAACCGCAAACTAATTCAATTTAACAATTAACTCAAATATAAACTATAAACGTTTTAAATATAAATTTATTATGAAAATTTTGTAATGTTTTCAATTGTTATTTTATTATTAATTTTAGTTCAATATTATTTAGTGAAAAAAAAAAATTATATATATTAATTTTTTCTGAAATTTGTTTTTGAATAATTGTTTTTAATCGTTATTGAATAAAAAATAATAATGATTTTTTTTATTTTTAAAAATTTCTAGAGTAAACAAAAAATATTAACATTGATAAACACAAACCCATGTTAATGATTTTTAATTATATTTAAACAACGATTTTGTTTTGACTAGCAAAGAAAAATTTAAGTTTTTAAATATTTTTTAAGTTTTTAAAAGCGTTTCAACTTGCGTTTTATAAAAATATAAAAAAGTTTTGTCTGCTTTGAAGCGTATTTTTGATACGTAGTTTAGAACGCGTTCGCCAGGAATTTAATTCATAAACTTTTTATGTTATTGTAAAAATATTTAACTTTTTAAACAAATCACAAAGAAACAGAGCTATAGAGAAAAATTGTTTTCAACGATTAAATCTTTTTTTTTTTTTTAATTTTAGGAAATTAAAAAAAAAAAAAATTAAATATGAAAGTCTTAATTATGCAAACTCTTTTATTAATTATTCTTAAAACAAAAAAACAAATACTTGTACGCCAAACTTTAATCATGCAAACTTATAAAAATACTCAACTGAAATAATTTAAGTATATTTAATAATTTGAATCGTATCTGTTTATAATAAACGTTCGTAAAAATTTGTTTATTAAAAATTAAGTTCCTTAACTTATAAACAAACTCAAAAGTATTTTCATTCTACGTATAATTACAAAACTCTTTTTTTTTTTTCGTTTGTAAGCAATTTAATTTAATAAAAAAAAAAAAAAAGAATAAATATGAGATAATCTTTGTTAAGAATAAATTTAATTTATTTATTGAACTATATTTTTATTTTTAATTATATATCAACTTAATTAAAATATAGTAACATGTTAAAATATTTTAACATGACTTGTATTATTTATAAACCGTTGGGCAGTTGCCCTTACGGCACTATTGTTTTTGGATAATATTTTATTTTGATGAAGATCACTTAACTTACATTTGATTTTAATAACGTAAGTCTTCTCTTTTTCTGTGATCATCGTATCGGCAAAGTCCCAAGATTTAAAAGTTTTTAAAGTAAATCTTTTGTCCTTCAAAATACAATCCATATTCGAACTTTAAATAATTTAGAGATAATAGAAATATACAAGGTTTTTATATACTAGTTTGTTTTGTTTTATAAAGAAAAATACATATACATTAGTAAAAAATGGAGACTGTCATTAAACTCAAACGTGCCTTAGTATTTATTTAACGGAACCTGTAATGTGCGCGTGCATAATAAAACCTCCGTTATATAAATATATTCAACGTAATATTAGTGTCATCAGCGGATGTTGTAGTCATGATTTCTTTACCTTATATTATAACTTGATTTATGACAAAAAAAACTTATTGAATCGCACGCAGAAGAATTTTAACAAATTGTCTTCATTCAAATATTGCGAGTAACAGGTAATTTTTTCTGTGCCGACCCCCTCCCCCCGCATAACTTAAACTATATACTAATAAACTAATAAGAAAAGCTATATACTATTAAACTAACTATAAGCTATATACTATTAAACTAATAAGAAAAGCAAAGACATTTTTTTTAACATCTCGAAAAAATGTCTTGATATTTTTGTTATCAGGATAACAAAAATATTAAGACATTTTTTGAGATTTTATTTAAAAAAATGTCAATTCTTAATTACAAATTTTTTTGCAAATGTTTTTTATTATAAATTCAGTAAAAAATTCATAAAAAATCTATATTACAAAAAACTTTTATATTCTGTATTAATCAATATGGAGTATAGATTTTTTAAAAGTTTTTTACTAAAAACTTTACTACTTTTTATTAAAAACATTGCAAAAAATTTGTAGTTAAGGATTGACAAACAATTTTTCATGTTGCTAAATATTTGGATAAAAAGTTTAGCGTCAAATTAATTGCTATAAAAAGGAAAGATATATCGCGATGAAAAGTTACAACAATTAATTTTAAAGTAAATTCTTTTTTAATAAATACCTTTACATATCGTTATTTAAAAGTTAATGTGGTTTTTTTGAAAATTAATTACTTCTTTTATGTTACCGCTAATTTAAAAGTTAAAAAATGATAAAAAGTAGCTTAACCAAAACAGCTCTACGCGTACGTAAAAAGCGCTTAAGGCGTACGTAAATCGCTCTAGGCGTAACGCTTTAAAACAAGGCCTGTATTAAACAACTTATTTTACTAATAACCGTTCAAATCAAACTAAATTAAAGTTAAAACAAGTATTTGTACTAAAATATACAAGAAATTGTATAAAATATAAATATAAAAACAAAGAATCGCATTAAATTGTTCGCTTCCAGCTGAACAAAAATCTTTTTGTAGCAACCGCACATTTTTTTGAATAACATTTGAACATTGACAATTAATTAAAATTCGATAATAATAAAGTTTTTAACACGCATCATTAAACAATAATAAATGCAAAGTGCTTAAAACTATTGTTTTTGTAAGCAGTAACTAAAACATTAAGTCCAAAACGAACCTCATTTAATGAATAAAAATGATATTTTTTCTTCAAAATACTTTGGTAATTACTTAACTAAATACTTAACACTTCCACAAGTTAATTCTAAATACTAAATACTTAACACTTCCGGTAATTACTTAACTACTAATTACTTAAATATTTATACACTTCACAAGTTTTAAAGTGTTAGTGCTGTTTTATTTTATAACTAAATTTAAAGTTTTTTTATGAAGGGCTATTCAAGATTTAACTTTGTGATAACTTTTTTTTTAATAACACAATATAGCTCTTATTTTTTTTTTTGTTTTGATTATGTAGAGATTTAAATAAACCTTCAGAACAAACAAATTCTATGTGTCTAGAATGGAAATTTATGTGCAAAACAAGATAAATTGTAAAGCATACTCGAAAACCGCTACCAGTGGCTTGTGGTAGTGAAAGAGTTAAACCATGACTAAAAACATTGCGACTAACATTATACAGACTCCGAGAACCAAAATAAAATGGAGACGGCGAGCTTCGACTAAAACGATAATTTTAATTTTGTTGGTATGCATTCATTACTTAATTTCAATCAAAAAAATTTTGCCCAAATGTTTTTTTTTAAATATTTTCTTTAATATGAACACAACTTGTCTTGGCAGTTGGAGATCCCTTTAATTAATTTTGTATTCCTTCGTTTTATTTGTTTTTATTTGTAAAAAATGTTTTAAAAAAATGTTTTATAAAACCTTTGCAGTTAAAATTTAGCAGTTCTAATTTTTTTCAATAACATTTAAATACTTAAATAACATATTTCAATTAACTTACTACTTCATATAGTATTCTGTACATCTGCATTGAACCTAATAAAAAAAATTTCAAATCATCTATTAATAAAAAAATAGAGCATGCCAAAAATCTTTTTATTCTAAAATCTTCTCTGCTTTAAAACTTGATCCATAAATCATATAACTTGGCATTCTTTTAAATAAAATGAATTAAAATATATTTTCATATTTAATGTTCATTACAGCACTAGAATAAATAAGCATAATTAGATTAACGCTACTTCAAGTGCACAACACTACTATTAATACAATTTTTTATTTTATTGTGTAGAACAAGAAACAATAAAAAACAGTGTTTCAATAACTATTTAGCAAATGAAAAAAAACAATATAAATGTTTTTAGTATAGACACCCAACTTGGTTCAAACTTATAAGATTAAACAAAAAATATCAAACTAATTAACAAAAAAAGTTTTTTTTAAACAAGAAAATAATCAGCACACGCAATAAATTACCTTTGTCTTGGTGATAAACTGGTTCCCACCAATATCCAGTAAATCGGTCAAACTCTTCTTGTGTTACATATGCAGGTACACCTGCTGATAAAGCTTCTTCTCGTGATGAATCTCTAACAAATGTCAACCTCATCTCTGATCCACCTAATGTATTCACAACCCAAATATCACCATGATCAATGAATGATAAGATATTTGGATTACAGGGGCACATTTTTGTATCCATTTTGCTGCCAAAAAGATTTGTTGGGATGACATGAGGGGTAGCATACTGTAAAAGAAAATATAAAAAGATTTGTTGGGATGGCATGAGGTGTAGCATACTGTAAAAGGAAATATAAAAAGATTTTCACCAATGAGCTTCTCAGTTAAAATCTCACTTATTGGAGTCTAATGAGAATTATTATAGTAGTATAATATTACTTAAACTTGTTGTTCGAACAAAGGAATTCCAGGCCCTTCTGATTTAATTATATAGTAATATATAAAAAAACTTAGTGTAAAAAAATACACAAAAGAATTGATATAAGAGAGTTTATGCAGCAATCACATCTAAGTCATCATCAAAATCAACATCTAAACATCTTGTGTGACATCATCTAATGCATTTTTGTTTATACACATTTACATCAAATTAACAAATGTCCTAATTTTTCTAACAATTATTTTTTTTAATGAATGAAATTACTTTGGCAGATTAACATCTCCAAAATCAATTTCATTTATTTGGCTTTTACATACAGTTTCTAAATGCTTTTGGCATTTAGAAATGTTAAGCATTTAGAAACTGTATGTAAAATACAGTTTCTAAATGCTTAACATCTTGCTAACTCTAACTGTGATTTTATAGTATAAATGAAAAATCTTTTTTTTGGCGCTTAACCTTCGAGCCGGTAAGACGTGTTTCTTCGAGCGTAAGTTTTACAGAAGTTTTTCAAATCTATTGTTTCTTCCTAGTTTTGAGTACAATTTTTTCACACTTTTTCATAATTTTGGAATATTTTGTGCCTAGGATTTATTTATCAATAAATAAATATATTTACGAAAATTTGTATATATTTACTAATATTAGTAACCAACTGAATAATATTAGTTAATTATACGGAAATAACACAATAAAATTTTTCAAAGTTTGTTGTGTAAATAAGGTAATAAGAGGCTAGTACTAGTAGAATAACATACTGTAAATTAGTTAAGTCAGTTGTCCTAGTTTTAGAGATTTTAAAAGTTTTTGAACAAAACTCGATTCAAGCAAAATACTCGATTTTGTACAAAACTTGATTTGTGCAATATTTGATCTAAGTCAAAATTCGATTTGACATGGACAAAACAATTGACGAGATTGTAGACGAAGCCACAGAGGAAGCACTTAGCTTAACTGGCAGCAGCGCAACTTTCGATAAAACATACAGAACAGAAGTGGGCGCAATGTTCAGAACAGCACTTACGATAGTACTGTCAGAAACTCAACAACAATACAATAAGCAAATCAATGAGTTGAAGGAGGAAATTGTAGCACTAAAAACAGGAAATGAACAAACGATAACAATTCGACCTATTAATCGACCAACTAATGCTCTGGTTTCTTACTCATCCACCGTTAACCTAATAGGTAGAGTAAATACTACTCAGCATAATCATCTTCTTAACATAACTGCAGCCGAAGTTAATACCCGAAAAGAGAGAGTCAAGTGCAATTATCGTGGGTTTAGAAGAATCTACCGAGCAAGAGGATTCAAAAATCGTTGATGAATTCCTTGACAGCATTAAAATTGATAGGAGTAATGTCGTACATATTCAACGTTTCAAAAACAGAACCTAAACAAACGTGGACTCTTCCGCAAAAAAACAAATCAGAATTGTCAAAGTTGTTTTCAAATCGTCTGAATATCAAAAGGAAGCCTTAAAAAACGGTAACTATTATAATATTTCTAAATTTAAAGACGCCTTCATCAGAGAGGACAGAACACCAGCTGAGCAGTCGGAATTTAATAAACTGTTAGCGAACAAAAAACGTAAACACGAGGAATTCAACAAAATTGCCTCTCAATCTATTAAGCCCTTTCGTTGGATCATCCACAGGCGCACTAAAGAAGTCAGATGCATTGACGCAGGCAAATCAGCAAGCCAAAAAAAAATGCATCTGGGCCTTAAAGCCACAACTTGATCAGATCAGAGCCAATCTCGAAAAGTTTCAAGAATTGCAAAAATCCCAAACCCCCGCTGTCGCCACCAATAGATTCGGCATCATTTCAATCGAGGAAGAAGCCTAAAACAAATCAACTCAAAGCCAACAGCACACAAAAATCGAAAGCTAAACAGTCGAATCCGCAACCCACAATTCACCAAGAATCCGTAAATAAATTGCACTTCTGGGCACACAACCCTTGCTCACTAAATGGTTCAAAAAAGAACAAATCGACAGCACGAATTCAATCAGAAATAACAAATAATAAACTGGATATCATGTTCTTCACGGAGACATGGTTTAACAACAATTCGGACACAAACATCGAAGGATATCAGGCTATTATCAGAAATAGAGATGGTCGATCAAGCGAAGTAGATCAAAAACAATTTGACAGTATCCGAAACTAACATCGAAATTCTACAAAAGCCGACAAACATCGAACAGATATGGAGAATCATTAAATACCAAAATGATTTGGTTCTAGTAGGCTGCATATACCGAACACACAACCTAGATGATAACGTTCTAGCACAAATCATCAACTCAATCAAAGCTGCAAAGCGCAGTCTCGAGAGCCTTTAATGCTCATTTCTTCTCTTATACGGCGATTTTAACTTTTCGCACACAACATATGAGCAATTAGATACTGGAGGTAACTCTGCTACTGCTGCTCACAGATTAAATGAACACCAAACAGACATCAAATTCCAGAAATGCTTGGACGAATGTCATCTTACTCAGGCGATTACGTTCCCAACTTACCGCGATTCTCTAGATGTCAGACCAGTAAGTACTCTTGACTAATAATGACCAATGAACCCGAATGTCTTATATTTCTTGAAGAATGCAAAACTTTGGGTCGGACACCCAGGGAACAAGCCCACTGCATGATAAAAGGTACGTACGCTCTACCTGAATCTAGTCTTCAAGGTACTCTCACCAACCCACATTTCATAAGGAGTAGAGCAAATTTTGATATGCTCTCAGCATACATAACAGCCCATGACTGGGAGAATACAGTAGGTTTGTCTTCAACTCGCGAAAACTACAAAATACTGATCGAAAAATATAAGGAGACCGTAAAACTATATATTCCTAGTACGACAAAGCCTTTCAAGGAAAAGAAAGAGCCGTGGAATACACAGTCAGTAAACGAAGCAGTAAATAACAAAAGAGACACATAGCGAAAATTCCTAGCTGCCGGTTCATCACTTAAAGACTCAATACACCTGGAGCACAAACTCGCTTGTAAAAAGGTCTCAAAAGAAGTTCGAAATGCCGTAGTGGACTATGAAATGGGTATCGCTTATGCAGGCTTGGACGGGAATGGCGTGCGATCGGACGCTGTGTTTGACCACGCACATAATAACAATGTTTTGACAATAAAACCACGGTTGCTTTGATGTTTTGACTAATAAATACATTTTTTCGGCCTATGGGAAATGCGTTAAAAAAACCAAACTAAATTAAATTATAGAGAACAATTTAAAAAATATGTATTTTTTTTTTCAACAAAAGAAGAGAAAAGAAAACTAAAACTGTAAAAGTACAAACTCAAAGCGACAATTATTTTAAGTTACGTTGGTTAACGTTAGAAATAAATGACTTTTATTTTTTGTTACTTTATTTTTTGCAAACAAGTTAAACTATGGAATCGCTTCATTGCTACAACGTTTAGGTCTTTTGTTGTTGTCATCCTGAGCGTTAATACATTTTTCCAGCAAGAGTTCAGTCGTAGCTAGACTGCTGAATAAACGATCTAAAAGCGTCAGAATTTGGCTGTTATACCTTGATATATATTTTTTTAATCAAGTCCGTTGGTTTATTGATCAATAAGCCTTATATTATAAATTTATATTTCTTCTTAGTTGAATTTTTTGAATCCGATAAATTTTGTTATGTATCGGAATAATAATTATTTAATAACATTTTTCTTAATTTAAATTTTGTTTAACAATTAATTCGTCACTTTATTTATAAGTGCTTCACACTATAATTTTTAAGTTTTTTAATAAAGTTTCAAACTTTTTGATGTTGTAATTTAAAGTAATAAATAAAATATTCGTTTAAAAGATTCATAAACATCGCAAAACAAAACAAAAATACTTTTTAACTTTTACATTTATCATACACTTTTATCATAAGCACTTATTATGCAAATAGTTAGTTCTCTCTCGCGGAGATTCTCATTAAACATAACGGCGTAAACATTAGACGTTACTCTTTAAAATCTTTGCGCAAGAGAGCCAATGCTTTTAACGTAAAAGCATTGGTTCTCATGCGCAAAGATTTTAAAGAGTAACGTCTAATGTTTACCTGGTTATGTTTAATGAATATCTCCGCGAAGGAGAAGTAATATTTGACAAGGAATTAGTTTAACTTAGCGTGACGGTAGACTTTGTGGATGGAAAAAAAATGTTACAAATAACATTTTTAAATATTTTTAATAAAAAGTGTCTAATTAAAATAATCGTTACAAACACTTAGTAGATTTATTTTAAAGCGTTTCGCATGTCAAGTTTTAAAAAAAATTTATTAATTCCTACCATTTATCAGAAACAAAATATTTGTTTAAAAGATTTAAAATAAAAACATGGAAAGGTATATTCTAACGTTTACATTAAAAAAAAAACATGCTTATAAATATAATAATACAAAAAAACTTAGATATTCTTTGGTGTAAAGTAATCCTTAGAAGTAATTTTCACTTTGTTTAAATGCCTTCACATATTATACAAACTTAAGCAAAGATAATCTTTGTGAACGAATAATCTCAAAACGTTTTGAACGAAGATCTTAAAGATTGTCGTTCATAAAGTTTCGAGCTTATTCATTCCTTTCATAATAAAAATTCTCTCAAAAAATAATCTTTGAAAAACAAAATTTTCGTTTGAAAGATTTAAAATAAAAACATAAAAAAATACTTTTAAGCGTTAGAAAACAAACTTAAATAAAAGTTTTGTATACGTTTTCGTAATAATAACTTGTTTATTTTAAGCAATCTTTTGAAGTAATTTGTTATTTTCTTTAAAGGTTTTCACATAATATAAAAACTTTGAAAAAGATCAACGATTAAAAGT